GACGGTTTGACAATAACTTATTTCCCCTTCATTCTACGTCTCTGTAGCCAATTACCTGTACATATTGATAAGCTTCGTGGCTCGGGATATGTGCCTCATTAGGCTTATAACGCGACAGCTTGATTGACGACTCTATACGTATATTGAATTTTCCGGCACAACATTACGTGGCTAATTTTCTGTCTATTAATTTTTTAGCTGAGAATTTAAAATTTATACTTATATTCTTACTTACTTATATATATACTTCATACTTATATTCTAAATGCGAAAGTTTAGACCGATGGCTTAAAGATCTTCATGAAATTCTTCACAGATGTAGAACATAGTCTGGAGGAATAAATAGGCACTATGTTTTTTTTTCTGCGGACGTAAGCTCTAATCTACAGGGATGGATGTAAAGCTTTGCGAATTTCTTTTGTTTTGTGTATTATGGTCAGTTATATTTGATTTTGAAAGCATGATTATTTTTTATTATTTTATTAATATAAATCCTGCACCCGGAAGTGCACTTTACTTAGTGGTAGATGGAACACGTTTACGATGTTGTGGAAATTTACAATTGTCGGTGATACAACTGATTTCGTGTTGGCGTTGTGCCATTTCAATTGTTCTCAACAATTCAAGCTCCTGTTCCAAGTGGGGACTTGGCTCGAATAATGACTAACATAATTCCCATATTACTCATTTTATAGAACCTTGTTAAGATTTCCTTTGATAACAGATCTTGTTTCGACCAAATTGAAGATCTGCGGGGTAAGACAAAGTGTATTCGCTTCGAAGGAATTCCTTAGCGAACTTCAAAATTGTATAGAACTGACGCGCGGCAATCACGTGAGTTATCGAAAGGTATTGTCAATTCTATACATTTTTGAAGTTCGTTGTCGCATTGTAGTGAATTCACTTTGTCTAACGCCCTATATGTTTATTCTGTCTTATAAAACATAAAACAAATGCCACTTATAATAAATTTGAAAACATTAAATCAGAAATGTTTAACGTTTATTCGTTTTTGAGAGCATATTGTGGTACAACACTATGTTGAAGTAAATATTAAATTCATATAGTGGCGTGTTGTTGCGAATATAGAAGAGAATATTACGTATTCATTTTGGGAATCCGTTGGGAAAAAGCTGGCAACCCCTTCTTATACAACATTGCTATTCGTAAAACGAAGTTACCCAAATCGAAATCAATTTTCAAGCGGAGATCGTTATCTGAACCACTCTTTTTCTTGTTACAATAACTTACTGTCGATAACTTTTATAGAAAATATCCGCATCGATAGACTGGAAAAGTTATTTTCATTTCTTATTTATTGTAATAAATTCACGTAGCAAATGAAATCATATATCGTACCTTTCTTAAATATACAAACATATTTTACCTACAAAGATTTTTGGTGAGACTATTTCTTTTGTGAAGGAAGAAAATCCGACACGGTGTATCGGCGCAACACTAGCCTTATTAAAATGTCAACGTTTATGTCCCCTCACTATTTAATCTGACACTTGACTTAGTAACGAATGCCCGCTATTCGCGCCAAGGGATTCGAACTATCAATGACTAAAACAAGATATAAATATTCTCCCACGTCGTTGATGTTTTAACAAACATTCTATGAAAATGAACTTGAATTAGAAGGATCGTGATGTAGGTTTACTTCTATTAATCTTTCGATCGTTCGATTATTTTCATTTATAATATTTTATTAAATTTTACAAATTTATTCCTATGTTATTTTATATATTTTATAGTTATTAATCCATTACAACTACTTTAAAACTGAATGCACAAGTCTGGAGACTAGCGAAAATCCATTAAGAAGTTTGAAAACTTTATCTGAATTCAAAGAAGCTGCAGGCGACTTCATTTTATACTTAACAGCTAAGTGTAAATAAGGTAAGCCATCTATACAATTAATAAAATTGGAGTGTCTGTACGTAATAAAAAAAAACAGTACACATTATGTGTTTGCGTTGCATTAAAAACATTTTGTCTGTTCGTCTATCTGGAAACAGGTGGACCGATTTATTCAAAATTTTCCTGACAGATACCTGATATATAGGGAAGTAACTCAGGCTTTTTAGTTTGCACGGTGATACAGTCGCGAGCAAAAGATTATAAATTAAATAAGCACATTTCTTGAACCATTATTATTTATAAAAATATCACGTGAATCACCTGTTATTTCTATAATTTGAACACTAGTTTAATTAAGAGTAATGAATCTGTTTTGACTAACGCCTTTTTTGTTATTTGTTTTATTGTAATCCACGTTTTGTAACTTAAGCTTTATTACCGTTGACTTCTGAGATCAAAACCTCTGTAAAAAAATATCGTCATGCTTGTAATCTTTGACAAAACAGAGATAAATATATTTTCAACAAGAATTTAGGTCTCAGAAACCCACGGTTAGTAAACTATGTCAGTAGAAAGCAGTAAGTTGATTGGCAATGTGTCAAACATTTGCCACCATATATCGCATTTTACTGGACGCAGTTTGATCTGCAACAACCGAGTCGGTAACAAATGGCCAGTAATAAACTAGTCAAAGTGAAAGGTATTTACCAACAAACTATTTATTACCATGCGGAGTCATAAATTCTGACAGTGAACAGCACGGCTTTGCGAATGCCAAAGGCAATGGAGATATGACGTATCATTGGAACCTAAATTTCCGGATTAATGCGATTTGTATTTTCTCAAGAGAAACATAAATGAATACTAATAAACAGATATTTTGGAAATAAGTACGAATAGCTGTCGCCCGCGTCCTCCCACGTGGAATGAAAAAAAACTTACTGAGTGACCAATGTGTTCTTCCAGACTATGTTCTACATCTGTCCAAAATTTCAGCGGGATCCGTTTAAACGTTCTGAAGACCTTCAAAGAAACATCCATCGATCTATCTATCCAAACTTTCGCATCTATCATATTTGTAAGACAAGTAACATTTGACTTTATGTATTGTAATTTGTTTATTGCAGTCCGGCCTTCTTAACAAGCGTGAGCCCCCTAGTGTGAAAATTATACTGGCACTTAAAAACTACAGGAAACTGTTTATTAGATGACGTCACCCAGAGTCCGGCATATTAATGAAACCTGGCACAGGTGTAGAACATAGTCTGGAAGACCACATGGACTACTAATCAAGTTTTTTTTTAGTTTCGCGCGGACTTAGTCGCTAATGATGGGTAGTTCAAATATTCTAAGGATATTTTTTGAAAAATAAAAACAATTGTCATCAAAACATTCTATTAAATTGTATAAATATGTCGGTTATTATAAAACAATGATTCATCGATGTCAAAAAGCTTAAAATACTAAAATACATTTTCGTAAATGCTGATTGGTATGTCAGGTTTCATAATAATGTCTACTTAATTTAAAACAGTCCAATTACACGATCAAAATAAAAAAAAAAATTGTCAGAAAATTTTGTTCTTTGGTTTAATATAATTTTTAGTTTAATATTATTTTTTTACAAACGGATACATACTTGTCTAATAAAAAGAGACTAGTTAATTAAACATAAAGTATGAACAACTAGTGGTAATTTAAGTTTAATATTTCTAATTGTAATAAGTACTTATTAATAGAACTATTTATAATTCTAATTAAGAACACTGATTTTTTTTAACAAAAAATCAGACTTGTTCTAATACAGTAACCCCACATGGCACGTTTAGTCTATTATTAACATAATAAGTTCACTTTTTAATCAAAATGGCGGATACAGAATTGTGATTGAGGATTACAGCTCCTGTCAGAAAATATTAGCAAAATCAAAACTATGCAACTAATATTTTTTTTTGAGTGTTAATCCAAAAACTATTAACTTAGTATGTTGGAATAGAAAAACTTATTATAATAATCATTTTCAAATACATTTACAATACTTATTTATGGTGCTCAGTCAATTCACAAAGTAACTATATCAGAGTTATTTTATCTAAAATTGTGATTACATTGAAAATACAATCTGGCATACATATGTAGAGATATTACAATGTGAGTGATTATTTATATAAATGATAATATGAAGAATGTAATTTACTTTTATTTTTCGTCAGAATAAAAGTTGAAATCTACACTTACATAGTCGAGTTTGTTCATATAAGTATCTTAATAATTATTAGTAATTTTAAGCAACACGGTCCTTTATTTATGTACGAATTAAACTTATAAAGAATTCACAATTATATTTAAATACTCAGTTATTACAAAAGATGTTAATTGTAAAATAATTACTTTTTCCGTCGGCAGAAAGTTTATGACATATATTTTAATAACATAGAATATTAGAAGGAAATAGAAACAATAGTGAGTCTAGCACGAATATTTGCGACAAGAGCCGTCGTATCGTTAACGTCATTTTTGTGTACTCTAGACGTGATGGGGGCGCTACACAAATTTTCTCGATTACGACACGATGACGCTTGTCACAAATATTCGTGCTAGGCCCACTGAACAGATAATGATCGATTACATTTTCTAACTATAGGTTTTCATTGTTAAAAAATTTGTATAAAATTTACCTCTCTCATTCGCTTTGAAAAAAAAATAAGATAACAATATGATTCATACAAGTGTAGGAATTTCTCTAAAGCGAAATGTAACAGGGTACATATTCAGATAAAGCTAATTTCTATGTAAGAAAAAATGTTATTCAAACTTATTTGATATTGAAGAATATTGCTTTGGTTTTTAACTGCGATGATTTGTTTTATGCATATTGTTGTCCCTATTTTATCATAGGGAATGAGAGAGATGATGTTATATATTACATATGTTCCGCAGTGACGTTCTACTGTTTTAAGGCTGCCTGGATACAAAGATTTTTTGAATAACCTTCGTAGCGTACTAAATTGCTTCATAACTATGCTTCATAAAATTTATACTAATCGCCAAAAATATAATTTCATGTTTATAGCGGTCACTTCGCTATTTTAGCGATTAGGCCGCTCGCACTTATGCCACTTTATGATAAAAAAAAAATAGCGCCCAGCAATTATTAGAATAAATGTTTTAATTGTTTAGTATTTCTCATATTATTTTAGGTTTCTTTGGTGGACAGAACTATAGGTTTTGAAGTTCAGGCTATTAATTTGTCAAATTTTAATTCGACAATATTGTTGCGTCTTATAACTATTTAACACTATATTCTTTTTAAGCCGTTTGCAAGTCCCCTTATTAAGAATATCGTTGCTTTAATACAAGTAGATTTTAAATAAAATAACCAAACTACACCAAACGTAAAAGCAATATTTACAGTCTCAAATTAAATTCTTGGAATCACAAGAAATTCGATCGCATTCTTTAACTAATTACAACCAACTATTATGTATGAATTTTGATAAAAAACATACAAGCATCTACTAACACTTTTTTACTCCAAACTCTGAGTATCGTAATATTAATTTTAATAGGAATCTCAATCGAACACTAAGCAACTCAATTAATCTCATAATTACGTAGCATTTGTTTGATAGCAAACAAATATTTATATTTTTCAGTTAACATTGAATACATGTATGTATTTAGTTTCATATTTCTCTATAGGGTTGAGCAAAAATGTCACTTAATAATTGTTGATACTCCTCCGCATTGTAAAGATAGTCCTCGTCATCAATTAAACTCGTACCGTTGTATCTGAAAAAAAAAATCACTCGTTAAGATTAAATCATTTTTAGAGTTATTCTTAAACAGACCTTTGTAAAGCAGAATCTTAGCAATCACGGTATTATTTTGGATAATTCTTTTTTAATACACCTTAAACCTACGACCCGATAAAGGCTATATATTTAACGCAATTATACTTATTGAGGAAATTAAAAAAAATCATTGCGAAAAAAGGACTAAGATTGCAAGTCAATGGGAAATATGGATGCGTTGGTAATTTAAGTTTTTGCATTTTGATATTTTCAATTGTAAGTTTTACAGAATCTAGACAACAAATTATAGTTTCTATGTTCAATTACAAAAAATAATAAAATCCCAAGCGGAAAATTCCCACGGGAACAGCTAATTTATATATAAACTAGCTGTCACCCGAGACTCCGTCTGCACGGTTTTAGAAAAAAACGTAATTAGCAACCTATCTGATCTTCCAGACCATACTCTACATTTATGCCAAATTTCAGCGAGATCCGTCCAGCCGTTTTATAGATATCTTCAAACATCCATCCAAACATTCGCATTTATAAAATAAGTAAGACTTGTAAGAAGTAAAATAATGAGACTAGATAAATTTTGTTAACTTAAAATAATAGAAATAAAAAAATAATTCACATAATTATCTGTATCTTAAAGTCATTGTTCTACATGAAACAAAATTTAATTTTGTTAGTATTTGATTCGTTTTACTACTTTAATTATAATAAAATAATTACATACTTATTTGCGACATAATTTTGATTCTATTATTATCGTATCTATTACGACAGAGAATTATATTTATATGACAACTATGTATTACCTTCTTGTTGCTCTTTTTCTTCTGTTACTAACGTGGGATGTTGCTTCAATACATAATACTGCGAAATGATTGTTGCACGTGTATCTGCAAAAAAAAATAAATAAATTCAGAAACGAAAAATTTAATCGAAAACTACAATGAAAATATTAAGCATCTTAAAACTACGTAAAACGTTTGTTTAATGGCCAAAAAGCGACGGTTTGGAACACGAAAACCTGTTGTGCTGACCTTACTTAAAGTCGGATTACAGGCACCTATAAGAAATTTAAAATGTAGTGTAATTTTTGCCTTTGTACAAACTTTAGTCAGTACTTGTCTAAGGATACGCTTTCGTGTGAAAGCTGTAAATTTAAAAAATGTAAACAATGATATGAATGTAGATTGTTAATGGACTCAAGCTAAGCATTTGAGATTAATTCCCAACATACCTTTCTTGATTGAGTAGCTTGTGGGAGTAAAGAGAAGCCGCCATTCCTCGCGACTTCGGGTCATTGCTCTGCCATTCGTCGCAGAACGTCTCCATCGCCCGTTCTCCATTCACATATGACCCATGCCATATGAACTTTTGTGGCCTTTTGGTAAAAAACACAGACTCTACATTTATAATAAACATTGTTTTACTAAACCTACTTGAAATTAGCTTTAACTTATCTGCATTTGATCACGTTATATTTAAGATTGCAATGAAGTGCGTAGTTACATATCAAAGCCAGTCCATCTTACCAGTTAGAGTCAGCCATGATGTTCTTATCGTTGAAACTGTATATCCTAGGCGCCCCGGACATGAGACCTCCACTACCATCGAAGATCTCAGCGAATGACTTGAACAACAACTCGCCTCGTGTGTTCACCACGGGCAAATGACGGTCCGAGTAACGCACCGTCGAGTCTAGGTTTTGGATTCTAAAATACACGTTTACATTTTCACTTATTTGAATTAAAGACTCCCTTTCCCATCCTATAGTTATGAGAAAAGAGTGGGAAGGGAATGGACTGAAAATAGGTTTTCAGCATGCACACGCATCAGTTATCATTTATTGACTGATTGAAATAATCTTACCTACTGGTGAGTAGAGCTTTGAATGTACCCTTGAATCCAGCGCGACGAGCCTGTCTGTAGCAGGCATAATCCGCGCGCCGCACGCCGTGCATGTCGCCCGAGAGCGGCTCATTGAGAGCGGCAAGTCGCAACTGTAATTACATTATCAATTCGTCGTCATCACAGACGTCCCACCGAAGGGCTCGAACCTACACACCTTAGTGGTAACAAGGATATAAACCCCCGGAAAGACGAATGAATGACTTACAAAAGTTCAATCGGTCATACTATTCAGGTTAAAGAATGCACAATTAAGCAGACATACGGACCGAGCCGACGGATAGAGTTACATCTCTATAGAGATTTCATTTGAGATGTAAATGTTGTCTTCTTTAGCGGTTCTACGTATGTACTTACGAACAGTTGTCGTATAACACTTACAGTGGGTCCTAGTGATGTCGCAGGCGGGGAATTCTCAACTAAGTTGGTGAGAATAGGCAAGTGGACCAGACTCGCTGCTGGCAACAGATGCGTCGGCGTTGTTGGCGCGGGCGGTGACGGAGCCGATTGTGTCACCAACGAACCGAGCTGGTGTGAAAATCAACAGCTCAATTTTATATGAACCTAGCATAGATTTGTTTTATTCCAACGAATCATTTAGCTAAGCTAACAGGGCAAAACCAAATCAAAGGAGTAAACTCTATTTTCTTCAAAAGATTTCGTTTTCATGTCACTTTAAAATACTTTTCCACTTAATAAATGATAACAATAGTTAAAAGTTTCATTCTAGTTTTCTTAAAAAAAATAATGATAATACTGTTTATGGTTTACTTAAAACTTTATCTATTAAATGTCAGCAAGTCAAGATTATTCAATGATAAATGCCACAGTTTGAATGGGTGAATTGATACGTAGAACATACTCTGGTAGAAAGCATAGGCTTATCGTGTTTAACTTACTATGGGAGAAGCAAGTACTCAAATATTTACCAGAACATATTGCCATCCAGAATTAACTTTAACGAAGAGCGCTTGTTCCTCAGCAACATAAGCCAGTGCACCCACTGGACTTGTTGACGCAAGCTGGAATTTAACATCATATTTAGTATTTTACACTTTACTTATCTATTGACCGAAAATTCCGTACAAAAACTTATTATTATTCCTCTCATTGTCATGAAGCTAACTTCTACTTTCCATCTTTTTATACTAAGAAAAGGAAAGGAGAGGATGGACAGGAAAATATACAATAGTCGAACCTGGATAAACAAGAGACCTTTATACGACCTCTATAGGAAAGAAACTCTGGTGAAAGAGAAACCCCCATAACATAAATAAATATTGCGGTCTCTTGGACTCTCCCTTATCCAGATCCAGCTGTATATATCCTCTTCTCTATTTGTGAAAAGTAGGCTGCAACCTTTTAAGTAATTTCTATGCACAGTATCATTTTAGCATAATCCGGGTGTAATTTGTTTTGCTGCAATATGTTATTCAAATGTTTGGATAATGTAAAAGGTAGAGTTGCATATGAATCTTACTCTCATCATTTCTTCAGTAGTTTGGAATACAGCAGCGCTTGGTACTGTTGGAGCAGGTTTTGGAATACTTTCTTCATGATGACTCCTCGATTCAGTAGTGGCAAAAGCTGATAAAAAACATAATTAAAAAGTTAAATTATGATTAAGAAGATTCTATGTATGTACCAAAAGGATCTTTTCGAAGACTATGTTTGTTTTGCAGCATTTTTAATATGCTCTACCATTTTCCGCTATCAACAACTCCAGTGCAATTATTGTAATTGCTAGAATTGTAAAAGTGATATTGAGTAAACAATCTTACATCTTTGGTACTAAGGTGAAGTACCTATTGGGTATTAGGTACCATAATAAATATCTATGTTTACATTATTACTTACTTCCGCGATCTCTAGATCTGTCTTTGAGATCTTTGAGTTCTCGCAAAGCTTTGAGCTCATCCAAAGGACTCTTTGCGACTATTCCAAGTAGCATGGAAAATAAACATTAGAACATCACCATTTGTTTGCGTTCCCAAAACATTTACATGAAATCTTATGATCCCAGAATTTTAAAAGGTAAAATGAGAAGTGACTTTTTTAAATGTTTTTTGTTTTACCAACAGCTTAACAGCTTCTTCTAATAATGCTGACTTTTATTGATATTGTATTTAAATTAATTAGTTTTTATTATTACTTTGGCCTTTATTATTAATTTTTATTACACGTATTTCCAATAACTTGTTTAATATGCTATGAAACATTAAAGTTTTATTCGTATTTCCAGTCTCTAAAAAGAGCTGCCAATTACTTGTTTTTGTAAACTCTTTTTTTGACAGAATGTAGAAGAAAATACTGCACATTTTACATGCCAGTACTTATTTTTTAAAATAAATTATTTGTTTTTTTCACACAATTATTCAAAATCACAAATTTTTATATTTTTTTTTATAAATGAGTATTTAAAAAAAGATAAATGCGAAACAAGAACATACTTGGTTTTCCATAAAATTTGGTGCTGCCGTGAGTTGGATATTCTTCGTAATAGCTTTGTCCTGGCTCGCCTTTTGGTCCTACGATAGATACGCCTGGAGAACCGGGTGGTCCTGGCGGTCCCGGTGGTCCTGGAGGACCAGGCACGTATTGCACGGCTTCGGACCTCAACCCTGAAGTACCAGGGGGACCCGGTGGTCCTTGATCACCTTTGGTCCCAGGCGTACCTTCTAGACCGCGATCACCTTTCTCGCCTTTAAACTGTAGATAAATTAAAACTATAGATAATTTATAAATTAAAAATATTGGTTAGGCCTCAGCTCAGTCAAGACATACAGTGGTAGACGCCAGTAACATTTATTGCACGAATTGGCCGCTTCGTCCGGTGCTATACCACGATTGACGATGCTTTTAAATTTCAAACTTTAATTTATTTCTTATCAAAAATCTTTCGAAAACTCTATTAAAGTTCATACTTTTTAAAATATTTTATTGTAATCAATCATTAATAGGATAAGTATTCTATAAAAAGTTTTAATTATCCAATTAAATTCGGACGAACTTTTTTGTAGTTAAAAAAAAGAAATGTAAGTAAATTAATTTTGTTAAACCAAATTTAAATTGTTAAAGTAGGAATTGACTATTAATTTATGAAACTAAAACTTTGAAATGTCTGTAAATTATTTTTAACATTCCTACATTAACAATCCTTAAGTGGAAGGGAAAGTCAATATCTTGGTCATTGATCTCTTACGAGTGCATATAACTTGTTCTTAAGGCACGAACCATCAGTTTCTCAGACCAAAACCCCCGTTTAAAATATAATGTTATCTCTGGTTTCTTTTTCAAAGATAATGACAGGAATGACAGGTTATATACATAAATTTAGGTGTCATAAACCCACGATAGTTCGCACATAAAAAAGAACGTCAATTCCAATGTATGTTCAAAACGTTTTTGTCAATTCATTTTCAAGTCGTAAGTAATTTTATCAACAAAATCTATTCACACTTTTAAATGACGTCAATGACACAGACGAAAAAATACTTGTTTAAAATAATAATAAACAACGACGCGACATACGCGAATAATCAGTATAAATTAATATCTTGTATATAAAATTCTCGTGTCACAATTTTCGTTCCCATACTCCTCCGAAACGGCTTGACCGATTCTCATGAAATTTTGTAAGAATATTGAGTAGGTCTATGAATCGGCCAACATCTATTTTTATTCCCGCGCGGACGGAGTCGCGGGCGATAGCTAGTTTACAAAAAAAAATAGTGTACCAAAGTAATTCACGTATCGTCATCATTGGTTTACAATAAAAATATTTGCATTTATGCCAATGTTTATGCTTATTACGTAAGCAGTTATTATTGGTCCAGTAGAGTATTGTCCATCGTTCATTGGTCACCGACAAAACTTTGTTTATTATAATTTAAGGATTCCGTAGAGAATTAAAAAAAACTCTGTCTAAACATATTATAATATAGTATGTTTAAGAAATTGCCTTTATATCTAACATGTGTTCCATTTCGTAGAAATATTATCAATGTATAATAATTAAATATTTTTAAAAATTGTAATGATAACATTCTGCACACATGATTATCGCATTTTTTATTTCTTTTTTTAATGTTTATAAAATTAGATATATATATATATATAGTAAATTTATCTAATTCTACAATCTTAGGAGAGTAAATATGTAATGGGAAGTCTGTAGTTAAATACTTTGTTTTTGAAACATATTTTTTTTACTGAATTAACTAGTAAAGTAGACAATTAACTCTTTATACTTATTTCAATGTATTGAAATCCTTAATAAACTTTATTATAAGGTAATTGTAACAAACAGGTTGTATAAAAATGTAATGAACCCAATAACGTTATAACGATATTATCTTGGTTTATTTTTACCGCGATATGGATAAGGGTTATTCGCACTGCTGCTCCGCTATAGAGCACACGTTAACAAGGTCAGTGTATTTGTTTAAAATGTGGTATTTCGTGTTAGTGTTTGTGATAGTGCTATTTCTATATAGTTTAAGAACATTAAACTATTGGAAGAAGAGAGGTATAAAACATGATCCCCCAATACCATTTTTTGGAAATAATTTTCGACAGTTTTTCCAACAAGCAAGTATGGCCATGCTAGCCACAGAAGCTTACAACAAATATCCAAATGAGAAAGTAGTCGGATTCTTTAGAGGTATGAAACCAGAATTGGTTATAAGAGATCCAGAAATAGCGAAGAGAATTCTCATTACTGACTTCCAACACTTCTACGCCCGAGGCTTTAATCCTCATAAGACCGTTATAGAGCCACTTTTGAAAAATTTATTCTTTGCCGATGGTGACTTGTGGCGTTTAATAAGGCAACGATTTACTCCGGCCTTCAGTACTGCTAAATTGAAAGGTATGTTTCCTATTATTACTGACCGAGCAGAAAAGTTACAAATCATCACAGAGGAAGTGTCCCATTTAGATTCATATGACGTTCGTGAATTAATGGCAAGATATACCACTGATTTTATCGGCGCTTGTGGTTTTGGAATATCCATGGATTCTTTGAGCAATGAAAATTCCGAATTTAGAAGATTAGGTAAAAGAATTTTTCAACGAACTCCTAAAGATGCTGTGCATGCAGCTCTGAAATTATTATTTCCAGAGTTATGCAAAAATCTTCATTTCTTGGACCCTGAACTTGAAAAATCTATGACTTTCTTAGTTCAAACTGTAATGAGAGAAAGAAATTATAAACACTCAGGTAAAAACGATTTTATTGATTTAATGTTAGAACTTAAAGAAAAAGGTACAATAATTGGGGAATCTATTGAGAGTAGAAATAGCGATGGAACTGCAAAAGTAGTAACAATGGAAATGACAGAAATGATAATGATAGCCCAAGTTTTTGTTTTCTTTGGAGCCGGTTTCGAGACATCATCTACAGCATCCAGTTATACGTTACATCAATTAGCTTTCAACCCAGAGTATCAAGTTAAAGTGCAAGAAGAAATTGATGAAGTCTTAAAAAAATACAATAATAAAATTACATACGAAGCAGTAAATGAAATGACCTGTCTAGAAAAGGCTTTTTATGAAGCAATGAGAATGTATCCATCGGTAGCCTATATTGTAAGAATGTGTACATCACCAAAATATACAATTCCTGAAATTGGCGTTACAATAAACGAAGGTGTCAAAGTTATGATTCCAATCCAAGCTATGCATAACGATGAGAAGTACTTCGAAGAACCAGAAAAATTCAACCCCGAAAGGTTTAATTTGGGTAGAAAACAATTTAAGGACGTGTTTTTACCTTTTGGTGAAGGTCCGAGAGCTTGTGTCGGTAAGTGTTGATATCAATTTATTAAGTAATAACCAATAAAGCAATTAAAAAAAACTGGTAATACGAGATAGAATCTAAATTTATAAGTCCATCTCGTCTACGAGCATAAAAAGGATCACGAATCATGTCGGATTCAATAAAAACATTGTACGAAGGTCAATCTTACTCGATCGTTTAACGACATGTAAGATTTGATTGAAGCTGCTGTATAGATTTTAGGAAATTAATTATATTTCATTAATCATTTCAGAAAAAAATAACAACCTGAGATTTAGGATCGTACTCGTATTTATCCGTTATTGACTATTATACTCTATACTGATGTATTTTCCTTCATCCTTTATATATTCATGATCAGATTGATATGCATCTTCTTGAGAATACTAACAGTCTAGTTATTCAGCAAGCATGTTTTGTGAGCAAAATTTAAACAATAAGAACCAAATTCCCATTAAGAAAAATTTTATCGCCTGTAATCTTGTGCTACTGCTATAAGTGTGATCTCTGGTGTACGAAGAATATGAAGGTTCATTTTAGTATGGTAATTGTTGGATTAAAAAAAATTATAAGAAATTTTCATTATAATTTTTATAATCATACTAGCTGTCGCCCCGGAACCTTTAGCGCCGAATTAATAAAAACTTAATAAGTAGCCTTTGTGTTCTTCCAGTCCATTCATCCATTCCTGAGTTATGTACCTTCAAACAAACATCCATCTATGCATCCGTCTAAACATTCATATAGTAGAAGTAAGATGAGTGGCTTTATTCCATTTGAGTCTTATATCAGACAAAAGCCTTAAAAAGTGCAATATATTAAGGGAAGGAAGCAACATGATTACTTAGTCTATATATAGTTGCTAGTCATTACGTGAATCCATTGTCGTATGTTATTGATAGCGGTCGTTTTTATAAATAACGGCTACTCTAATGAAACTGTTTAAAATTCAAAACACTTTGTTTAGTTGTGTTAATGTCTAGGAAATTCGCGCATGTTAGTGTCGTAGCACACAGCGAGGCGTGACATTTAAAAACCTGTTCATGTTTTTAATCATCTGTGTATGTATGTTTATGTCTGTGTACAGATTCTATAGAAACTTCTTGTCACCATAGTGACCTAATAAAGTCGGAAAACTTTAACAGGTTTATATATAATAATAATTTTGAAAATCTTTTTTTGAATAACTAATAATCTACGAATTTTGTTTCTTTCACTCGGATAGTCGTAATTTTTGTTATTTATTAAAAATATATATATTTTTTAATTTTTCAGGTGAAAGACTGGGACAAATGCAGTCTATGGCAGGGCTTGCAGCTGTCTTACAAAAGTTTACCGTGGAACCTGCAAAATGTAGCGTGAGAGATCCAAAGCCAGAGCCCACAGCGATAGTTGCCGAAGGTTTTGTAGGCGGATTGCCTCTTAAAATAAGGAAGAGACAGACATAGAAATCCTGGATATAATACATAATAATATATATGGCATTAGGGTATATTAATAGGATTTTCTGGATATAAGTAAACATGAAATTATTTTACTTGCCATTGATACGTCGAGAATGTTACCTCCAGGGTCCCCTTTTTCTCCCTTGGGCCCGGCAGGTCCCGGTGTACCCGGGGGACCAAGTGTTCCCGGTCGTCCCTAAACATTAATCAAAATCAGACAATGATATAGCATTGTACCTAATTAAAATAGCACAATATTAATTGTGATAGTCTAGCCTTACCTTGACATTCTTATTTGGAAGCGTGAAGTAAAAAAAGCAAAAGTGTGATAAATTGTATAATATTAGTTAATAATAAATTTAAAATATTGGAAGAACAAAATTATAGACTTACGACTTTGCCTATATTGTGATAAGTTTTAAATTAAGATTAAAGTATATTTTGTTTAAATCGTTTATTATTTCACTTACCATCCAGCCAGGCAGGCCTGTTTCTCCCTTTTCGCCTGTCCTTCCAGGGGTCCCCGGAGGGCCTTGGATACCTTGAAGCCCTCGAGGCCCAGGAGGGCCCGGCCTACCCCTTCTCCCGCGAACACCAGGCTCTCCTTTGTCTCCCTACGTACGTTTAATTATTTAACAATAAAATTAAAACACTTATTAACTTATCATCTGACAATTAACTTTTACTCAAAAATATCTAAATACAGGCAATTCTCTAGCCTTGTAATTGATTTATACCTATTTTAAGATATAAAAACTTTTTTATGCACTTAATTATGTATTTTTATGTAGAAAAGCATCAAAAAGTGACAATGTGACAAGATATACCTTTGCATTCTGGTTTCTGGTGTATTTACCTTTATAGTCAAAATATCGGATCCTGACGTTGTGACGCTGACTGGCCCTGGAGGTCCTCTCTCTCCTTTATCTCCCTTCAGACCTGGTACACCTGGAGGACCGGCTACTCCTGGCATCCCTGATGGTCCGATGTCCCCTCTTTCACCAGGTTTTCCATCCTTGCCCGGAAAACCAGGAGTACCGTCGTTGCCTTGAGCTCCTTTTTCACCCTGCCAAAAGTATTTTGCTTTATTTAATTTAGAGGCGTACATGCTAGCAATATTCTTAGTTTTGTTAATTTAATATCATCGTTTATTGTATTATGTTGGTAAGAGAACAAGAAAGTAATATTTTGGTAATTTTACCTTTTCACCTTTTTCCAGTTGCATATCCTGTTGCCCTAAAAGCAAATACGTTCAAAATCATTATGCATTAAAGTTCAAATATTATTAATGAAAAAAATGTTTATACTGTACCAGCGAATAAAAGTTCGCTGCGTCCAGTCAAGCTATCGATTGCTGGTGTGGGTGGGCCAGGCGGGCCAGGTAAACCTCTTTCACCTAAAAAAGGCGTTTAATTTGAAAACTTAAAAAAAAACATGAATCTCAAATGCAAGAATGATTGCTGAAGAAATTTGTTTTACCTTTTTCCCCTTTTTCGGCAGATCTACCATTTGCCCCAGGTAAGCCCGGACGTCCATCGAGACCTGGACTGCCACGTTCACCTTTAGGTCCTCGATCACCTTGAGGACCCGGGTGCCCCTAGAGAAATGCAATATTATACTCTGATAAAGACAAAGGTACAAAAGAGCAGACAAACAACTTCAAGAAGACATAGAGTAAGTAGACGTAATGCAAGATAGAGTAGACAATCCAGCTAAGGATCTCAAGGCTCATTTAGTGCTACTAGGATCCATCTAGAAGAACTCTCTATCTCTCTCTATGTGGAAGAGGAAAATTCAACAAGAGATGTTGGATGATAACATCGTAAGGAACTATAGTATTTTTAAACACCAACAGTCAAAATTAACTTACGCGGTCACCTTTAGCTCCGTTCTGACCCGGTTGACCTCTTTCTCCTTTAGGTCCGGTGAAACCTCTTTCTCCTTGCAACCCCATTGGACCCGGTTGACCGGCATCTCCTTTAGGTCCTGGAGCACCAGGTCGACCGAGTACCCCACCGTATGATCCCATAAGCGATTCCTATAGAAAACAACAAATTCTTTAAAATTGAAATGAATCTTGACATCAAATTTGTCGGTGAAGAAAAATATTTTTCGTTTGTCATCATTGTTGATGTGTTTTGTTACTGTTATCATTACAAAATCGCACAAGGATATAAATAGCTTGGTTACGTCTGGCTGTTATTTTACAGACCTATTATGAGTCATGTGAGTATGTGTCTTGGAATGACTTGTATGAATATTTTAAATTTTTTAAAAAAAAATTTAAAAATTTAATCTAAAAAAACACACAAAATACAACTAATCTACACAAATAAAAATAGCTACTTCAAAATACTGCTATAAGTTACTATAACTTGATACATCATTTGCAACAAAGTATTAGAAAGGTGAGTTCTTTCTTACACGCGCCAATAATTATAGTTCGTATAATGATTATTAATTGTCTATTATCACTATTAGTGATAGTTATAGCGATTAAATGATTGTAAATTAACTCAAAATACTTCTTTATGGAAATAAAAACAATTGCCTTCTAATTAAAAATATAACTTTGTTGTTAAAAACAATTACTATAACAGGATACTGTGTATTGGCTATGTTCAGAATTACAGACTTATTACTAAAGCAAACTTGTTGAACTTTATATAAATAATCGTCAGTTTCCATTGACGAAACACCAAAGTATTAATCTATACTTTTTCTGGAAGTGCTTATGCCTCTATATCTTAACCTTCTAGGTTAAGATTTCTATTTAATTTGTGGAAACCCACAGTAAATTATAAAGGTAAATTACATCGTTATTTACACATAAAAACAATCGGTCGATCCAAAATATGTACGGTAGCGTATTTGAAACACGAGCAACTTCCTTTGATAAAGCTATCAAAAATGATTGCTTTTTTTGAAGGATCTCTGATAATTTGTTATACATCCTACTTAAAGAAGAAATCTCATCAAAGTTAGCAGAAATAAGATAAATTTTAACTCAAAGCAAATTACTTATTACGAGTACGAGGCACTAAATACCAGAAATATTTGTTCTAATCAACTACTACTTTTGATGAAAACCATGCTATCATCGGATTCTATGTCTTACCTTATAGATTTGTCTCGGTTTCCAGTTCGACTGAATAAAATAAAAAGACATAAGATAACTTTAATTAACAGAATACAAATTTAATAAAGGTTAACGCGGACTCGTCCACTCTTTGCCTATCCAGTACTACTCCGAAGAGCACGCGGCTGACGAGGTGACGCCGAGCTATTGAACGCGATTATTTTGATCACAAATAAGGAGATTATAACGTACAGTAAGATCATAGTATTAACCAGGGGTAACATAAATTGCCGCGGTCGAGGAATCTATGGGGTTACGTTCCAAATTTCCAAAATAAGTGTATTTCAGATTGTATAAATATACTCTTTGTTTTGATAAAAGAATGATATATACTTATAGACATTTTTAAAGTAATAAACTACCAGTTGCAAGTCAGTATTTGGTAGACTTTATTACTAACTAATGAAACGGTGGCTTTTAAAAAATAACACCTGCAGATTTCAGAAATAAAGGCAACATAGCAAATAATATTTCTATCATTAAAAGTGTCAAATATTTTTCTATGAATGCGGGTTTGCTTACAATGATTTCACCCGCGAATTTTGGAATCGCAACTAACGGAATAAGGAGACGTTTACGGTAATTAATTTTCCGTATATGTATGCATAAATAAAATTTTTCCCACATTTTATTTTTCATTGTCTTCATAAAAGCAGCGTAACTCAGACAATTTTTAAATCGGATCTTAATATAAGTAATGAAAATTACGAAAAAAAAATTACCTGAGATTGTCTCAAAGACATTAAAGTAATTTCAAATTGCGTTAAGTTTTTTATCTACGCTGTTATATGACGCAAGAAATAAAATTGTTTTCTATATATCGATTTATTTTAAAACGTGTAAAAGATTTTTAACATATCTATATTATTTGCGAGACCTATAATCTTAAAAAATTAATTAATAGTCAGGCATTGTTGCCAAATTACGGGAAATATCAGTAACCGCTCACCTCGAAATTACTATAGTCTGAAGGTCCAGGAGGTCCGGGTGGACCTGGTTGGCCAGGGCTACCTGTTCTGCCGTCGACCCCCGGCTCCCCTTTAGGACCCGGTTGGCCCTCAGGACCACGTGATCCTACATCCCCTCTCTCCCCTTTCTCTCCTCGTAGTCCCGCTGGTCCTCTTTCACCAGGTATCCCTGGCTGGCCCTAAAAATAATTTTAGAATGTTAAACCAAGATGATAATAAATAATTGGATAATTGCGGACGGCACAGGATCGGTCATTGTGGCAATCGATGGGGGAGGCCTACGTTCAGCAGTGGACGAATTAGGACTGAATATGATGATATGATGAATCCAACATGGCATGGCAAAGGGTAAAATTCAAAAATAGTAGCTCTAGATATGTATGGGTTGTTATAAATATTTATATGTTCATATAATATTATGAACAACTTAATATAATACCGGATTAATAACATCGTAATCAAATCAGTGAATAATGAATTATTTTTTAAGGTATTGATAAAATTATTTAATAAATAACAATTGTTATTTGTTTATCGGTCTGATACTCGTAATATCTGAAATGAGGTCATACAGGTTTATTTATTATCAAAATGAAATTATATCACCAAATTAATATAAAATTTTTTGTTGAGTGTGAAAGTGACGAGAGTCTGTCAAGACTATTCAATCCATAATTTCTGTTTATTCCTCTAGGTTATGGGCGTAAATGATTTTTGTAATAATAATTGAAGAGCACATTTTTTTTTATCTCAAACAACATTATGTTCTTCGATTAATGATTGCAGTTCTTTCATAGCATTTAAACTTACCGCGATGCCGGGTGCGCCGATCCTGCCTTCGATCCCCATCACACCGGGAGGTCCAGGTGGACCTCGGAGCTCTGGGGCCTTTTCCAACAGTGACAGTATAACGCTCGCGTTGCAACTGCACTGGCCTGGGGACACATAATGTTCCCCAAAGACTTGCTGTAAAAAAAAATAATATGTTCATTCAAACCTATACAAACGCAATTTTCCATTTTACGTATAATCATATCAAACTTATTTCACTTTGTTGGAATTTTAGTTTTTCTTTGTTATTGAAAACTTAACGCACAATTTCATATTAAAGGTTTGAATTCTAAAATTTTAAACCCGGGCGACACTCACTTATTTCACATACTAATTTCACTATTTTACTTAATATTGAATATCACTATTTTAAATTAAAATTAATCTACCAAAATAATACTATAAACTAAAAACTAAAACTAAAGGTTTGAATATAAATTCGAATTTTTAACACTTCACCATGATTAAATATACATACCTTAACTTCGCTCTTCTGGAAGCGATTAAAAAAATAAACATAATTTTTTATTAATACGTGTGAAATTATACAAAAATAATTACTGTGGAAGTCAGTTTTACGTTAAATTTAATTAAAAAAGTAGCTACATATTAATTGTACCCGTATATATAAATTAGCAAAATAAGTTACATAAAAAATATAATTATATAATTAATTGAATTGTTATCATAACCTTGTGTTATATAATGGGTTTTAAGTATTTAAATATTTAATGGTGTGCGAATATTCTGTAACTATACTTATAAAGTAGATTTAAAATTGCTTTTATAAACAGGTGCTTTAAATCGTTAGAGCGTGTCGTACAAAGTATCTCGTATTGTGAACTTTAAAGGTTCCGCTTCGTAAGTTTTATCGGAAATATAAAACAGTTCAGGATCATCACATTTGAATTACGGTTAAAATTTTCGATTTAAATTTTATGCAAATTTACAACCCTATAAGAAAAATGTTACTACCTATCGCCGCTGCTCTATCCGGGAGGAATTAAAAAAAATAATTTATTAAAAAATATATTTTATATGTATTGCTTTTTTTTAGTACGTCTTAGTAGTTTGCTATATTATTAAGAAATAATATGTTACTCGCCTGAAAAAGGTATAAATGTGCAAATAAAAAAATAAACTTAATTAGCATATGCTCCAAACTGTGTTCTACATCTATGCCAAATTTCATTGAGATCCATGCAGTGGTTCTGGAGATACCTTCTAACAAAAATCTACACATCCAAACAATCACAATTATAATTTAAGTCAAAAGTACAACATTAAAAATTTAATGTTAGTTTTTATAATTTGAGAGTTAAACAACAAACTAGTGATGATGAACTATGGTAAAATAAAGCCTTGGATTCTTCATCAAGCACTTTGGTATTTTTTTTCTTATGTCGTGTTACATTTATTCTTTTAAATATATTTTAAAATTATACTTGACGGACGACGGCCTGAGGAATGCGGACTTAATCAAAAACAGTAGATAAAACACGGTTGTTATTGGATATTACTATAAATATCTCTCTTCTCTTCTTCTTCGTATTCTTCATTACTGAAGGTCGTGCTTGCTGACTATAAATATACAGATGGTTACATTTTGACGAAACTATTATTCTTCAAGTGACATATTAAAGATAAAAATTACGTAACATACACGGCTGGTACGGTTCGAAATGTGGCCGGTGAGCGAAATCAAATAAATCAATACCTCAAAACGAGTGTTGGAGCCGCGCCAAGAGCTTAATAAACTTTGTTAGAGCCTCAACGTTAAATTCACTTCTCAATGTGAAGTACACCAAGTTTCCGTCTAATTGAATTATTAGAACATTTTAAGGACCTGCTAAAGAATTTGTTAACTATTTTCAGTCCGTCGTATTTGCTAATCGCAAATATACAGGCGCAAAATATAAAAAGTAAGTCATCTATATCTGTCAGAAAACTTCTATATTTCAAGACTATCCTAAAATAGGCAGGATTATGAACAGATAGGTTTCAGCTCTTAAACAAAAAGATGACACCCTTCCTTTCTAAATAACAATAATTTTAGTAGTTATGAATAACTTTCATTTGAAAAAAAAACTAGAAATTTATTTTATTCGTATCAATAATATGGCATATTTTATTCCTATTTCAAGTTCTAGCTTCAATTGAAAAGCGATTCATCCTCGTAAAACGTAGTTTCAAACGTTAGATTGCGAATAATAATATAATTTTAAATGAATTTATTGTATTAACCTATTTTACTTCTATCTGATCAGATAGACACTAATAGATAATGAAATTGGAATGAACAGATATCTTCCAAAGGCAATAATAAGTGATATGAGTTCTATATATTTTAACTTGTAACTTTTAATTTAAACCTAAATGAACGCATTATGCATTAACAAATACGATGTTCGGGATTTACTGATCTCTATATACAGTTAGGTGATTACTTGGAAATGAAGCGTTTGCTTCGTTCCTATTTAAACACGCTTGTTGATATTGCATGACAGAAAATTCTATCTATGTTATTAGTTCGAATCGACACTACCGCTATAAATCGTTACCATCAGCGCTAAAATGGCGAAAATCAAATAGACACAAAATAATATGTCTTATAACCAGTCCATTTGTAAAAGTCAGTGTCGGAAATTTAGTATTCTTCAAGTAATCACCTGTTTCTTTTGTTTTTTATATGACAAGTGAGAAAACTAGCAGCGGAAACAACAAAGTGACCATCGCCGAAAATGGAAACTCATGTCCATTTCAGTGCTAAATCCTTCCTTCCGACCGTTCCTTAGAACATCAGAGGGAATGCTGATGCGTGGCCAGAAAGAGTCACGCTCGTGTTTTGAAAGCATATATGTCGTACTGGTTTCTTGAGCAATGTGACCGTCGTTACCGAGATTTCGTCTTTGAATTCTTTCTTACCATCTCACTGCAAGTCTTTATGTGGCTGCTGTCATTGTCATTATTTGACATCTTTATATCGTTTTGATATCTTTATATTAAAAAAAACATTCGTGCAAAAGGGTTATATTCTGTCTATTTAAAGACGATAGAACAGGAACCTTGACTGTGCAATATTGCATGCTTTAATTAATCAATATCTTCATTCAATGAAATGAGTAATAAAAAATTTATTGTCCTCAATCAACCAAATCAAACTTTGCCACTAAGAGCCTTGGCTTTTATGCACTTGAAGAAGCAATTGTGACATTGTTTATTATAAGAGCCATCTTAATAGTCGCTTGACCTAATATTTTGTTATATCTATTACGTCAAACGCAAGCAGATCTCAGTAATAACTAATAGAAGTTCTCTGAAATGTTGGTATAATTTCCTATAAACATTTGCCACTCAATATCACAAAGTGGCTAGTACTTCTTCGAAATGCATTACACAGAGACTGATAAAGTCGTTATGTATTCATATTAGGTCGTCCATTTTATTTACTAATATTATAAATGCAAATGTTTGTATGGATAGATGGATATTTGTTTGAAGGTAACACCAGAACGGCTGCATAGATATCGCTGAAATTTGGCGCAGATGGAACAGCAGATTTTGTTCTAAAACTATGCCACAAGAACACCTACTAGGCTACTAACCAAGTTTTTTTTTAATCCGTGCGGACGGTGCCGCGGGCGACAACTAATATTATCTAAATTTGAATTTGACCGCTTTGTCAAAATTGCGATCTCAATTAATTACTCCGGCTCGAAATTGATACTGAATTAGTCTAATTTAATCTACATATTTAGCAATGAACAGATTATTATGGTTATTTTATGATTACTTAATGCGCTTTATTCTTTGGGGAGTAGGAGAAAAGATAAAATATACTTACGCCATCACCTGATCCAGAAAACTCATGTACTGGCACAGTTCCGGAGGTCCCTGGTGGACCTGGAGGTCCTGGTGGTCCTGGCGGGCCTCTAATCGATTCACCAGGTGGTCCCTACACAAAACAAAAGGTTAACAAACACATTGATTGTATAAATAGTTGGTTAGATAAAGTCCTTATCCAAATGTACTACAGTTGAATCTTAATAAATTATTGAATAATCGTAATAAAATATTAGTAGGAAATACCGTGCGTTTGTAAAGAAAACATCTACAAAACAAAGTTACTGTTTGTGGTTTTTTTTGCACAATATATGTACGTGAGTTTTGGCACTGGAAAACGTTAGTTTATATGAAACAATACAATATTTTTAAACATATTTATTAATAGAACAGTGTTATGACTAAGAATGTGCAATAATCTAGAATTGTTTCTTGCCCTAGGTCCGCGATCTCCTTTTTCTCCTCTCATTCGCGGTGAATATCCTGGAAACAGAAGAGAAGCATTAACACGAATTTGTTCCATTTATGTGATTCATAAATAAGTACATAAAAATTCCAAGCAGTTTCGATTGTAATTTAAAGTGTTACTTATAATAAATAACTAAGTTATAATTAAGTAATTAAATATTACATAAACATATACGTATAACTTAAACATTAAGTTATTTCACAGATGTATTATTTTGAAATTCTTTTTCAAACGTGAAAGTTTACAAAGCAAAGTTATCATATCCGATAATGCCATAGGGGCATGTTGTAGCAACGTGAACTTTTGTATCCGATATAGAGAATAAAAATGTACACCACTTTACACTTATTTTAATTCACAATTCATTTGAAGTACTATTGCGAATATAAGTTGGTGAGAATTATAATAAAAAGATTATGTTTAATCGTATAAGTTTATATGTTATGTTATAAAAAAATATAGTATTTCATTTAAAGGCGTTTTTGTTTTCAAATGAATTCTTATTTTCTAGAAAAACCCTGGACGTGTATCATCTTTCTAACATAATACATGCGATTTTAGTCAGCAACTTATTTGTTTTAAACAATTAAGAATGCGAACTGATATAACAGCGGCTAAACTCTCACGTATATTCGTACGCTGGCGGCACTGAGTGAGCGTCGGCCCCCGATGGGCTTGAAACTAGTCGGTGCCGCTACCCGACGAATATACGTGAGTTTTTATATCAGTTTATTATAATGTGTCACGAAAGTTTGAATAATTTTATTTACATAGCAACTGTTGCTTTTCGTTCCTATCAAATAATTTACAATCAATGTCTTACTTTAACAAAAAGATTCATTGCTTATAATAAATTTTATAAGATTTTTTGCTGTTAATTAACATTGCTTTGGATACTTTCAAACTCTACGTTGTGATTTGTAGAGTTATTGTTTGTCTATAATAAGTAATAATCGCAACTGTCTTCAGTAAAATTATGGTGATCTTAAAAAGTAATCAATCGCACCATCAAGTCCCGGCGGGAGGGGTGGGAAGGGCGGCGGCATGGTACCGTAGCGACCTGACCCCTCGGCATCCCCCTCCTCTTGGTCCACCTGAATCAAATGTAATTAATTGATGACCTTAAATTAGATCCGACCTTTATGAATAAATTATACATTTAAAAAGTAATCATTTTTCTCTACGCTTCAGCATCAAAATTAGCAAATCATATTCAATTTAAGGCCACGGTTAATAGTAAAATTTAATTTACGATTGATCGATTTCATTTATAATATATAATAGAAATTACAAAGGACTTTACTGAGTTATACATAATAATTTAACTATAATAATATTATATTTCAAGCCTACCGTTCTATGGGTCGGGTCATAAAAACGTTGAAATGTTTTAGTGTTGCAATATACAACTGTTAAAGAATTTTTACACACAATATTTTTATAGTGTCAGTGAGTAAGTTGTTAAATGACAGTGACAATACAAAAAGCATGCGGCAACACCAGAAAGTTGAAATAATTTGGGTAAGATATACCCGGGGAGAGAGCACTTTGACTCTTTGAGGAATGATGCCAGATTTGGCGGAACAAATAGATATTCGTTGAAAAAAAAAACATAAAAATCGATTCTGATGGCTCCATTCTAATAATAAAGATTTACTAAAAATTAGACAACGATAACATAAAATTTGTGATTTAAACACCCTATAACCAGTATAAAGATTCATCTAATGTCAATTTCTGATATCAGACACAACGACTAATTTAGTCTTCTCAGAGATTAATTGCGAAGCTACTTGTAACAATAGAGTACACATTGACTTTTGTAGTACTTAAATTGTTAGCCGCAATTCGTGTTAACTCTTAACTAGCTTGGTAGTATCTCGTTAGTTCAGTAATTGCGACATTGTCTTCTATTCACGGACAGTATGAACTTTATAATAATGCAACGTAGTCCTGCAATTGAAGTCTATTTGTTTGTCCTGATATAAACTACTACGGAATCTATCTATATTTCAATTTAAGTCATTATAATAGACCGACAAAAATATCTGTTTTAAGTCAAACTAAAATATAACAGCTCACTAGCGCCCCTCGGTGGACGTCAAAATATTTTTATATAGCAATGTTTCATATATTAAAAAAAATGTATTTTGAAAAGAAACAATTGTCAAATGAGTACATTAATTAAATAAAAATAAGCTTCAATATCTAATCGTTATACACGGAACAAATACAAAGTAATGAACATTATAAACGCGAGTGTTTGTATGTTTATTCGACCGAACAAAGGTTCTGAAACATACAATGTACCCCTGGTTATGTTACCAAGAGCTTCTTGAGCGTTTGATTACAGTATCGGAAACAGAGAACTCAAGACGAATACGTAATTTATGTGTCTGCCTTTCGAATGTAAGGTCGAGTTTCAAACCCTCTTTTCATGTTCGTCTAATCAAGTGCCTTGTTATATGTATCATATAGAAAGAGGAAATGAAAAAATAATAAGATTTACGAAATATGAAACATTCCTTTCGAGTACGGCTTTAGTTTTTTCTCTTTAATGTTTTGAATAAACACAAATTTATTACTTTACTCGGAAATGATCAATTTGGAATACAAAAAGAACGCAATTTTTATATAAATAAGTAGCTAATATTATGTAAATGTTTTCATACATATTCTTTGATAATGGTTTTATTAAAGAATGCCTTCAATAGCTGCAATTTCATGGTCCAATTCTTCTTAGCTACATATTGCTCATTGTTCATCGAGATACATTATGTACCAAGGTAATCTGGTATAATAAGTCATTAACAAACATCTTTTTAATTTTGCTGTTCTTCTGTAAAAAAGTCAAAGGAAATGAGTAGAACATTAAATCATTTTTTTATCTTTTCAGTTGGTAAATGAGCAAACAGCCAACTGAATTCGCCGAAATGGCGAAGCGACTGCTACCCGGAGATACTTTGCTAACCTTTAATTAACGGAGGAGGGGAAGCACAGAAAGAGAATATATCCATCTCCTATGGGTCCTCTCCTCCATCAAATCCACTTCCCCTTTTTATAATTTACTTATGAAAAAGGAGTGACAAGAGAATGAGAAGAGGGATATATTAACTAATCTAGATTTCGTTGGCAGACACATCATTTTAAGCTTGACATTTTGTCAGATTTGAACACTTAACTTACATTGAATTTGGTGAATAGCTAAAGCGATTTATCGCCACATTCGTTTGTTTTTGATTTTTGAAACGGTTATTACAGTGACCTTCGAAATACACGTATCGTATAAATTAGATTAGGTCAACGACCATCGATTATCAGAAAGAGGGTTCGGTGGCGATAAATTTCAGTATCTAATTCGAAAAGTCAACATTACACGATATAATACAGGATGTAGATATTTGAAAAGGCGACTTTGTAAATACTAATGTCCCAACGAAAAGTTTCAAATCGTATTCGGAATGTTATATTGGGTTCGTAACGGGATAGACTTAAATTGCAAATGCCTTTGTCAGTCGTATTTGTCGTTTGTATTTTGTGGGGTCAAAATTTAACTAAATTATATTTTGAATTGATTTTACAAAATTGTCACATGCGATTCCGTCAGCGCGGAATAAAAAAATAATAATTAGTAGCCTACATATGTGTTCTTTCAGAAGTTCTGCGTCTATACCAAATTATAGAAAGAACCATTCAGCCGTTCTTAATATACCTTCAAACAAACATCCATCCATCTAAACAATCGCATTTATAATATTAGTAAGATAAGTAAGAAGTAAGATTTAGTAAACATTACGCATTATGCGTAATTCATAAACATGTTCTATTTATTAACACAATGAAAGTGTTAAAAATGTATCTGATAGACGTATTTAAGTGGTAGCTACTCCATATATTTCATTGTTTACAGTGTGTCTAATTTAATTGTTTCATCTTGTTTACTAGTATCTTATTAACAATCGTATTACAATATTGAATACAATATATCTGATGCTGCGTGACAGTACTATCAAATATTACATCATCGTGATCTAAATTATCTGATGTTACCATATCTAAGATGACATAATTTGGCGGGTTTTATTGTGATGTTGACGTTCATTAGGATGCATTCTGTAAAGAACCGTAAAGCGGTCATTGACTGCACTAGCGTTAATGATAATTGTATAAAGACTAGTTGTCTAGACTGACATATACTAAATTAATTGTGGTCATTAACGCTTTCGACTCTCAAAGATAGGATTGACTTTACATCGTGACAACAAGGGTTTAAATAAGACATGCTTATCGTCGGTAACTAAAAGTTAAAGGTAACAAACAGTTTTTAATAACAAAAAAAGGGTCTTGACGGACAGACGGACGTGCAACAAAGTCATCAACTATATAACAACGATCTACGGAACCTTAATTAACAATAACTTTAAACGACTTCGAATCTATTACGATATATAATTCACTCATAACTAAGACTAAGTGTCGCACTAAAGATCGTTAAGTGTACACACAGTAGATTTGGCTTGTGAAACTTAAACTAAGACTCTCTTAGAATTCATATAACTCTGAGTTCTACAGTTAATTTCAAGATAAGAAAAAAAAATCAATCAATCGATAAAACTTCATTTTTAAGAACTGCTAAACCATGGGCATGATTATGCTAATTTTGTGCTATAAAAATAAATAAATAAATAATAAAAGACGATCACATTGATGTTCAATCATTTTGACAAGAGTTTATCCCCGTTCATACAAAGTGCATAAGGAGACGTCACAAAACAATGTTAGTACACAAAAACAATGTGATAAAAAGCGATTGTGTTAAACAGAAAAAAAAATGAAATTAATCACCAAAAAATTGTCAATGTCAATTTCGTCTCCACCGCTGCCGTTACCGATCTCCTGTTAAAAATGTAACGATAAAAAAAAATATCTTATATCAGACGCAAAAATTAACTTTGGAATTTAAACAATCCTGTAAGATTGAAGAAATGTAATCTTAATAAAATAAAAAATGTAACTAATATTAAAAATGGAACTGATATTTTTAAAATGAAATGAAAATATATGAACATTGATGAGAATTCGTATAAGTTTAAAATGTCTTACCTCAAATGTAGTGACACATTGTACTTCAGCTTGTGATGATGATCCGTACAGCTTGAGTTCTTGAAACGCTCCCTGTACCACGATCAAGGTTAACACACAACGCCACAGCGATTTCATAACGACTGGCAATTTATCCACATCTAAAATACGACATAAGACAAGCACTTTTTTTACATTATATTAATAAAATAATTAAAAAAAATTAGAACAAAGAAACACCGTGTATAGTTATATTTTATAATTTTCTTTTGAATTTTACTTTTATAATGTTCAAATTTTCCAAACGTTTACAGACCGAGCGAAATATCGATCTAATTAAGTTTTAATTTGAAATGGAGCGAAATCAATTATCGCGCGTCTTGATTTGATTTGTTAAAAAACTGTTGTTTTTTTTCTAAGTTAACGAACGTGGTAGCGATCGTATTAAACTTAAGTTTTTATAAATCCGGCCGGAAACTTTCAAGAACACGTGCGCAGGCGCACCGCACGCGTGTCAGTCAACCCGTTCGCGGCGATGCACTAAATTTAAAACGAACACTGAGACCACTACGTCCGAAATGCTAGGTCTCCCGTAAGCCTGCTTTTGTTAAACATTACTCATGTTAAACGGCTCACTATAAATTGGTCATACTGATAGCAATACCTGGACTACCAAATTGCATTGTTTGACTTTTAAGGTATAAAACATTTAGGATACATCACTTTAATATGCATGAATCTAAAATTATGCCTGCTTTATAGCATAAAAAAATTGCTACGAATCTTTTACATTTAAAGGTAAGCTGTCGCCCACTGCTGCGTCCGCGAGGAATTAAAAAACACTTCATTAGTTCTATACGTGTTTTTCCAGACTATGTTCTTTATCTATGCAAAATTTCAGCGAGATCCGTACAGCCATTTTGGAGATACCTTAAAAGAAACATCCATCCATCTAAGTGTAGTGAAGTCAACCAACCCGCCTAGCCCAGCCTCGTTGACTATGGCCTAATCACCTTTAACTTAGGGTAGGCTCCGAGCCCCTCGGTGGGGACGTATAGTGAGCTGATGATGATGATGGTGATGATGATCTATCTAAACATTTGCATTTATTAGCAAGATTTAATTGTCTCGGTTTCTTTGCCCAATTAACATAGTAAATACATGAATGAATATTTAGGACTCTACCAACATTGCGGAATAAACGTGTCAAACAGTTATCATAGAACACGAATTTATTAACATTTCCTTATAAACCTTCTATCGAAATCCTGGAAAAATCTAACATAATAACTTATCAATATATCTAAAAGCAAAATTAATATCAATATTTAACAATAATTGAAGCATAAATAAAATAACGTAGTAACCAATAATTGTCTCATTAATATTTTCTAAGACGTTACACGCTATAAGTGTTTCGTGTTAATTGAACATTTGAAGTATTACATCAATTGAACTCCTGTTCCTTTGTAAATTAAATAATTGTTTAGTCGAGACCGTTGTAATTAAAATTGGTTAACCATCTGTTAAATCAAAAAACTTTTTAAACTTGGCGCGAATTGTCAAATTTTTATTTTATGTATTTTCATAAACTTAACTACATAAATAAATTATGTTATAGAAAAATTCTAATGATTAAAAATAGTAATATTTCCTATTTCTACTTTTGATTCTGTCTAGTTTAATTATTGTATTGTTAATCACAAAATAAACATGGCTCCAACAAATTTTTACCTTTTCATTTTAGATTTTGGACCTTTACCTATGGTTTCTCCTCTAATCTCAGCAAGAGACGTAGTACTGTATATGTATATAATAATATGTATATGTGAACTGGAATATCGCATTATTAGTTTACTATAGGTCCCCACTGAGGGGTCGGAGCCTAAGTTAGGTACGACTAGGTCATAGTCAACCACGCTGGCCTAGTGCGGGTTGACTGCGCACATATCCATGAATTTCATTGTAGATATCTGCAGGTTGCATCACGATTTTTCCTTCCTTAAGAACGTCGGATATATGTAAATCTAAAATCTAAAAAACTTTCTTACATGGGGTGATTCAAATTCAAGACCTGCAGATTACAAATCAAGTGCTTAACCCCTGAACCACCCACGCTTAATAATGCATTAATCTTTGTTTATATGAAATTAATAAACCGTAACGTAGGTTCGCAGGAAATTAATTACGGCGCAGTAATATTGAATGATAAGGTAAAAATTTGTTAAGATAAATTACTGTATATTCTATACTATCTTCATCATGCTCCTAAAATACGTCTTAATATCGTGACAGCCAAATATTATTGGCGATTTTTAAGATGTTTCTGGGCAACGAAACTATAACGAAGGTACTGACTTTTTTTTTAAATTCAAATTCATCACTGACCTGAGTTACTCTACTCTATGTAAGGCATATCATTTTGGGTCGTCATTTGTTTTTTTTTAAATCAAAACTCTATATAAATTCTACCATTTATCAGTTGATGGAAACTGTTTTTGATCGCAAAATCGTATGTAACTCTCTCGAACTATATGTAACGTTTTCCCTTCATTCTTGAAATGTAGGCAGTACGAAAATCAATTTAAATACTTTCATCAAAGACCCAGAAAGTTCTACTACAAGGCCGCTTAAAACTTCTTATCCAGTTGTTTAATTAACGAAGCACGTTTTGTAACAGATACTATTTTCAAACTAGCTGTAGGAATCTTCGTGTCTATTTATCTTTAGTAAGAAAAAGCCTTGTGTTAGAATTTGTGTTGCAATAAATACTCTTAGTTTTTAATATAATTTAAGCATAGATGCTCACAAAATTTGATACAATATTAAGTTTTTGTTAAAAATTTACATCGCACATAATTTACTAAACACTTAATTATTTTGAACTAAACTCTTAAAGTATATACGGATTAATTTTATTATTTTAATTAATGCTTAACAACTTTAATATATTTCAATTATTTTCAGTACTTATTTATCTATTCATTTATCACCTTGAAGCTGCGTTAGGTTGTCATCTAGGCTAATATAAAGAGGAAGAGTTTGTTTGTTTTTTTTTAAACGCGCTAATCTCAGGAACTACTAGTCCGATTTGAAAAAAATTTTTTTTGTTAAATAGTTTATTTATAGAGGTAGGCTTTAGGCTAAATAACATTAGGCTGCGACCGATACGAGCGAAGCGTCAGTGAAAAATGTTGCAAAATCGCAGAAAGGTTTTTCACATTTGAGGACTTTCGTAGCATGCGCTGTGTGAACGGTTTAAGTTACTCAAAAAATATCTATGAAAGAAGTATTCCTTTTAAATAATTAAAAAAAAATCCTTGACAGTATATGTCTATATCTAAAAATTTACTCAATATGATTGCATAGATGGTGGATGGATGTTTGTTTGAAGGTAACTCCAGAACTGCTGAACGGATCTTGATGAAATTTGGTATATATGCTCTACATAGTCTGGAAGAATTTTTTTTTAAATTCCGCGCGGAAGTAGTCGCGGGCGATAGCTAGTAGTTAAATAAATTGTGCGACCACTTTGAAAACATTTACTTATTTCGTTGTTTGCTTGACGGCAAGTGGAATATAATGTACACAAACTAAAAGCTGGACTTCAAAGGAAGCTTAGAAACTTGCTAAACTTATTTTTAACCGTTCTAGTTTCCTACTTTATAATCTGCCACTTAAAAATATTTTATACTTGTTTACAGAAATAAAAGTTTAATATAAGGGAGAGGAAGACAGAAAAAAGTATGCGTACGAAGGGACTGAATTCATGTATAACGGCTGATAGAGATTTATGGAAGAGTATTGGGTCAATCTTCCGTAGGGACAAGTACAGATTTTATGATGAATTTGTTAATAAAATATAAAAAAATAATAAGCGAAAAACCTAAAACGAGAGATAAAAAAGGTTATAATTCGTTTAAAAAGTTTTAACATGTCTGTGAGTATCATATACAACCATTTTTAACCGACTTCAAAAAGGAGGAGGTTCTCAATTCGTCTTTATGTTTTTTATGCAGTGTTTGATACTATAAATTTAATTGGGCCAATGGGATTTTTTACCATTGAGCCGACGACCATCGGTCCAACGGCAAAACACTTGTCATCTTTCTCATTGTGATAACATAGACAATATATTATACTGCATTTATTCCTGTAATGTAAACACCCTTTACTGTGATGCAAGAGATATAATATTTAAATATTAATCATTTAATTTAATAAAATAGCGTATAATTTGTATGGATTTTATGCTGAATTTTCTAACAACGTCGGGGCAGGTGCATCAGAACTTTGCACTCAGTTTCTCAACTATTTTATAAGCAAGGTAATTGATTGCGCTAAAAGTTCGCAGAAGTCTCTCCTCTAAAATACTAATTAGGAACTACAAAGTAGACGGTGTTGGGCTAATTAAGTGCACAATTTGTGCACTTATATATCATACTAGCTGTCGCCTTCGGTTATGTCCGCGCGGAATTAAAAAAGGTTAATAAATTGACTATGTATTCTAGCAGATTATGCCTACATACGTGCCGAAATTCATGAAAACCCGTTCCGGAGATACCTTCAAACAAACATACATCCATCCATCCGTCTAAACTTTCGCATTTCTATTGTATATTAGTAAGATGTACAAGCATAGCATGAAATAAAACATGTCCAACACATAAAGTGACTTCGAGATATTATAAATTATGCTAATAATATAAATCAAGCCAAACTTAGAAGTTTAACTAGCATTTAACGCTCCTTAAAGACTAGCAAAAATATGTAAAAAGTGAGGTAAAATGTAAATGACAAAATTTCAAAAACTCTACCAACTGAATTGCAAGCAAACTTTTAATTGGAATAGTTTATCAATTATTTTATCAAGTGGTTCTAACTGATGGCAGTTGAAGTTGCCTAATTGACATCAAGTTAGTAAGAGAATAGTTAAATATATTTTGTATAAAGTAAATTAGCATCAATGGTAGAATTAGGAAGCAAACGCTTAGTATGGCATGGGATATTATGACGGAAGAATCGCATGTGACAAGGAAAATATGGAGAGATGAATATGGTTTGGTAGACATGTGAGTGTCGATGGCTCAAGG